AAAAGCTTTTGATAAAATCCAGCACCCCTTCTTGATAAAAACCCTCGAACATCTAGGCATACGGGGAACACACCTCAAAATAGTAATAGCCATCTACGAGAAAACCCACAGCCAGCATACTCCTAAATGGACAAAAATTTGAACCATTTCCTCTGAAAACTTGAACAAGACAAGGATGCCCACTCTCACCCCTCCTGTTCAACATAGTATCGGAAGTCCTGGCTCGAGCAATCAGAGAAGAGGAGGCAATCTGGGGTATCCAAATAGGAAAAGAGGAAGTCAAGTTATCTCTCTTTTGCAGATGATATGATTGTGTACCTTGAATACCCAAGAGAATCTGTCAAAAACCTCCTTACACTGATAAAGGCCTTTGACAAAGTCTCAGGATACAAAATAAATGTATAGAAATATACTTTTTAGCCAGACGTGGTGGCTCGTGCCTGTAGTTCCAGCTCAGGAAGGCTGAGGCAGAAGGCGGAAGGATCACCTGAACCCAGCAGGTCAAGGCTGCGGTGGTCGTGGGCATGCCACTCCACTCCAGCCTGGGAGACAGAGTGAGACTTCAGCTCCAATATATATACTGTTGCTGACTGGGTGTGATGACTCATGCCTGTAATCCCAGCACTTTGGAAGGCCAAGGTAGGAGGATTTCTTGAGCCCAGGGGTTTGAGACCAGCCTGGGCAACATAGCAAGACTTTGTTTCTACAAAAAATTTTAAAAAAAATTATCCAGATGAGGTGGCACACACCTGTAGTCTCAGCTACTAGTGTAGTCCTTGCTACTAGGGAGTCTGAGGCAGAAGGATCACCTGAGCCCAGGAGGTCAAGGCTGCAGTGAGCTGTGATCATGCCACTGCACTACAGTCTGAGTGACAGAGTGAGATCATGACTCAAAATAAATGAATGATTAAATAAATAAGTAAACAAACAAACTTGCACTCTGAACCACAGGACTCTACTCTCAGGCCCTCTTGGGGCAGTAGAGGTGGGACCCAAGACCCTTGTTTCTCCTGGCATCAGTGAGCTCAGCACAGTCCCTCTTCCCTACAGGTCTAGAAGCCACAGTCACAGGCTCACAAAGACTCTGGGCTCCACACACACGAGGGAGTGTTCCCTTCTCCACTATGTCACTATTTTTTTTTTGAGTTGGAGTCTCACTCGGTCGCCCAGACTGGAGTGCAGCGGCCGCTCCCGGCCACCGCAGCCTCGCTTGCTGGGCTCCAGCGATCCTTCTGCCTCAGCCTTCCGAGTAGCCGGAATTACGGTCATGCGCTACCACGCCCAGCTGATTTTTTGATTTATTGTAGAGATGAGATCTCGCTGCCCAGGCGGGTCTCGAACCGCGGGCTCAGGCAATCCACTCACGTCAGCCTCCCACTATTTTTGATGGCTCTCCTTTCCTTCTCAATCCTCGCCTGGGGCTACGTGTCAGGTTTGGGGCTAAGTACTTACTGTGCCTTAATTTATTTAATCCTTCCAATAACCTTTCAGGCTAGGCACCATTGCTATCAACCTCATTTTATAGTGAAAGAAACACAGGCACAAGGAAATTCAGGGACAGGCTTGAGGTGACATAGCAAACAAGTAGTGGAAGCCAACTGTGTCCCCAGGTGGACCCAAATCAAAGCCACACTGTTAGCCTCAGCTCTGCACCGCCACCCTGGACAGCAGCCCTTGCGAGGTCCCCACCTAGGGGTGTCTAATGGGAAACTTCCCTCTGGGTTAACTGGAGAGGGCGGGGTAGGGGTGTGGAAACTCAGGCTGCAAGGGCTTTTGGGTAGAACTGAGGTCATAGTCAAAGCCATCATGGTTTCCCAGCTGACACAGGACCCTGGCCCTCAGGCCATGTCTGGAGGAGCCTGAGCACCCCAGCGGTGCTCACAGATATCCACATCCTCAATGCCATGTGACCACGGAGGACGGTGCCACTCTAAGATTTGGGGTTGGTGCCACATAGAAGCCTTCAGATGCCCTGAAGTCTGTCCATTGTAGCCCCAGTCTTTTCTGGAATCCATGAGGCTGGAGGCTGGGGGGAGTGTCTCTTTTCTCACTGTGTCACCTGAGGGCACAAGGCACCCAAGCAGCCTGGCATAATGACTCTAAGCCACTCATGCCAAGGCTTCTGACCCCTCTCCTTCCTCCATGCAGCTCAGACTCGGCCCTGGTGCTACACAGGGAACTAGGGTCAACCTTGGCCTACTGTCCTTGTCCCCTTCCTGCCCCATACTCTTGCAAACTGTGTTCAGTGCTGGGCACGGTGGCTCAAGCCTGTAATCCCAGCACTTTGGGAGGCTGAGGCTAGAAGATTGCCTGAGTCCAGGGGTTTAAGACCAGCCTGGGCAACTTGGTGAGACCTTGTCTCTACAATAAATTAAAAAATTAGCCGGTCATGGTGGTGGGCACCTGTAGTTCCAGCTACTTGGAAGCCTAAGGTGGAAGGATCGCCTGAGCCCAGCAGGTTGAGGCTGCATTGTCCATGAGCATGCCACTGCACTCCAGCCTGGGCGACAGAGCAAGACTCCAACTCAAAATAAGATACAATAAAGTAAAAAGCAAATTGAGTCCTAGTAGGGATTTTCATTGACTCATCAGTTCAACCTGGACAGGACTGAGTCCCAGCTAAATCCGACCCCCCTGCACCATAGGTGAGAATGACAAGGCCAGGTGCAGTGACTTGTGGCTGTAATCCCTGCACTTTGGGAGGCGGAGGCAGGAGGACTGCTTGAGCCGAGGAGTTCAAGACCAGCCTGGGCAACATAGCAAGTCCTTGTCTCTACAAAAATAAAAAAACAAGCTGGGTGTGGTCATGTGTGCAAGGCAAGTGCGGAGAAGACAAGAGAACAAGCTGGTTGTTAGGTAAAGAAAAAGAAAGTTATTAAAGGGGAAACAAGAGGAGACCGGCTCTAAAGAGAAACCAGCCCCCCTTTGTTTTTTGTGGGTCCCTTTTATACCCCTAGCCAGGGTCTGGTGGTCACATAGCTTGGGTAGTCCAGAGGAAGAAGGGGGGGGTTGGTGGTCATATAGCCTTGAGGAAGCAGTTTAGGGTGATGGTTATATGGCCTTGAGATGCAATCCTTGAGAAAGCAGGTGTCTGCCTTAAAACAGTCAGTAACAGGATGCCGTTAATCACCTAGCCTCAGGATGCAACCTTGAGAAAGCAGATGTAGCCTGCACCCAGTTTGCAAGGTTCATACAGTGAGATATTTTAACAACAGTCCCCTACCCCTTCCTGCATGTAAGCCCTACCACCGCGTGCCTGTAGTTCTAGCTACTTGGGAGGCCAAGAGGGAGGATCATCTGAGTCCAGGAGGTCAAGGTTGTGGTGAGCTGTGATTGTGCCACTACATTCCAGTCTGGGCAGCAGAGTGAGACTCCAACTCAAAAAGAAAGAAAAGAAAAGGAATGACAAGCACTCCACCAGGTAGTTCCTACTGCTCTGAGACTGCCCTGGGATGATTCTACTCGCTGGAACCCTCTCTTGACTCTGCTGCCTCAAAACTGGGTTCAGGGGATCCTTCCGCCTCAGACTCCCAAGTAGCTGGGACTACAGGCATTTGCTACCACACCCGGTTAATTTTTCAAAATTTTTTTTTTGTTTTTGTAGAGACGAGGTCTCTATGCTGCCCAGGCTGGTCTTGATCTTCTGGGCTCAAGCAATCCTCCTGACTCGGCCTCCCAAATTGCTGGGAAGGCTGTAGTGGCTGTGAGCGTGCTTGCCACTGCACTCCAGCCTGAGGGACAGAGTGAGACTCTGACTCAAGAAAAAAAAAAAAAGTGTGGTTCCAAACAAATTAAGGAATCTCCAGACACCGGAAAAACATCGAGGCACGTGCTGAAGAGGTCAGAATCCTCCCTAGAGGAAGCCAAGGGTTAGGAGGGGAGCGCAGAAGGCAGCTGGACTTGGGCACGGCTCCTAGCTTTGCTCCTCCTTCATGTATAGAGTCTGAGTTGCTAAGAAACAGGAGTTGGTGCTGGGCCTCGCACTGCCAGGAGCAGAAGTGATGGAGACATGTTTGTGGCCAGTCCCCAGCAAGATGACTGCTGGGCCCCCTAGGGCTGAAGGAGGAGCTCTGACACCCGCCCTGCCCCCCAATCACCTGGGAAACGGAAGCAGAAAAAGGAGAAGCAGGGACAGCTGCCTCACTTCCTTCATATCTCGCCGTGGGACATGCCTGCCGAGCAAAAAGCAGCTCTGGGAGACGGGAGAGTCACAGAGGAACTCTCGGCCACAGTCTAAGAATAACACAGAGGTAATTTCAATTTTTACTCTTCGACCCTTGGGTGGAGGGGTGAGGAGGCTGTCTTATTTTCCACCATGTGCCACTGATATCCACCTCTGGAGGTGAGATGTCCCTTCTCTGTCCCACCCAGGAGTCTCCTGAGTTGGGAACGGGTCTTTATCTTTAAAAACTCGCAGAGAGTTCTAGCGGTCATCTACCTTGGTGAGACAGTGGAAGAAACCACTTTGTTCTGACTCATACATTTGCCCCCAGTATTTATAAATAGCCGCTATAGTCACGCGCTGATGACACTTTGGTAAATGACAGACTGCATCTACAGAGGTCCTATGAGATTATAACGAAGCTGAAAAATTCCTACTGCTTAGTGATGTTGCCTTTTCTCTGTTTAGATCTGTTTAGCTACACCCCTGCTCTACTTATTGTAGAGACGAGGTCTCGCCGAGTTGTCTGGGCTGGTCTTGAACCTGCAGGCTCAGCAATCCACTCGCCTGAAAAAAAATAGCTGATCTGTGCCCCTGGTGCCTCCCTTAGGATTTAGCCACCGGCCACCATGGGTTCTGTGAATTCCAGAGGTCACAAGGCGGATGCCCAGGTGGTGATGATGGGCCTCGACTCGGCAGGCAAGACCACGCTCCTGTACAGGCTGAAGGGCCACCCGCTGGTGGAGACGCTGCCCACCATTGGCTTCAACGTGGAGCCTCTGGAAACTCCTGGGCACGTGTCGCTGACTCTCTGGGACGTCGGGGGGCAGACCCAGCTCAGGGCCACCTGGAAGGACTATCTGGAAGGCACAGACGTCCTCGTATATGTGCTGGACAGCACAGATGAAGCCCGCTTGCCCGAGGCGGCGGCTGAGCTCACGGAAGTCCTGAACGACCCCAACATGGCCAGCGTCCCTTTCCTGGTGCTGGCCAACAAGCAGGAGGCGCCAGATGCGCTGGCGCTGCCTGAGATCCAGAGCAGGCTGGGCCTGGAGGGATTCCCGGACCGCTGCTGGGAGATCCGGGCCTGCAGTGCCCTCACCGGCCAGGGGCTGCCCGAGGCCCTGCAGAGCCTTCGAAGCCTCCTGAAGTCTCGCGGGCACCTGTGTCTCCAGGCCAGAGCCTGCAGGGCCGAGAGCAGCGAGCACGAGAAATCTTGACCGGGACAGGGCAGCTTGTCTTTGCTGGAACGAACTGGAAAGAACCTCAGCTCGGTTTATCAAGCAAGAAATGCTTCTGTCCTTGGACAGGATGTGTTCTTCTGGGGTCTTATTCTCAGCGTTGTTTATGTTGCAAATGAACTCTTCTTTGAATAGTGATACTCTAACCAAAAAACTCCACCTCCACACCCTTCATTGACTAGCTCATTCTCAAGTGTGAATGGAGTCACTGTAATGACAGAGCCATAAGTGGTTACATAACAACTGAGACCTAAATTCAGAGGGAAAGAGACTTTAAAATCAAATTAGAGTGATTTTTCCGGGTTGTCCCTGGGGCTATGCCTTATTACTCGGAGGACAAGTGGCAAGGCCCTCCCTCCCAGAGCAGTGTGTCTGCTCCCTTCCAGACCCTGTGGGTTAAAAGTTCCCTGGAGAATGGCCTCGGTGGCTCATGTCTACAATCCCAGTATTTTGGGAGGCCAGGGAAGGAGGATTGCTTGAGGTCAGGAGTTTGAGACCAGCCTGGGCAACATAGCAGACCTCATCTCTGCTAAAAACAAAATAACTGTGGCTCAACCTGTAATCTCAGCACTTTGAGAGGCCGAGGTGAGTAGGTTGCCTGAGCCTGCAGGTTTGAGACCAGCCCAGGCAACTTGGCGAGACCTCGTCTCTACAACAAGTAAAAAATTAGCCAGGTGTGGTACCATACTCCTGTAGGTCCGGCTACTTGGAAGGCTGATGTGGAAGGATTGCTGGAGCCCAGTGGGTCAACACTGGGGTGGCTGTGAGTGTGCCACTGCACTCCAGCCCGGGTGACGGAGTGAGATTCCAACTCAAAAACAAAACAAAAATAGCTAGGTGTGGTGGTGGCATGTACCTGTAGTCCCAGTTACTTGGGAGGCTGAGGTAGGAGGATCCAGACTGCAGTGAGCTATGATCATGTGACTGCACTCCTGCCTGGGCGATGAGGTGAGACTGTTTCTAAACAAAAGAAGTTCCCTGGGATGTTCAACCCTGGCCAAGAGACTGGGGTTAAGCCCATCCAAAATGTCTCCTAGTCTCTGACCCTAATGAGTTATTCCTGACCCTTTGGCATCCTATGTCGTTCTTTTCCAAAAACTTCTCATTTTCTTTCTTTTTTCCTTGTCTTTTCTTCTTGTAGCATATATCTTTCCTCAAAAATTCAATCAATCAATTATTTCATTTATTCACAACAAAAATATGTGGAGTGCTTAATTTGTAGCAAAGGCACAAATTAAGATATGGGCGGGATGCTTTAGATGGCAGCAATCGATGCCTTCTCTTTCATGATTGACAATAGAAAGGGGCCAGGCTCAGTGGCTCAGCTTGTAATCCCGCACCTTGGGAGGCTGAGGTGAGTGGATTGCCTGAGCCTGCGTGTTCGAGACCCGCATGGGGAACTTGGCGAGACCTCATCTCTACAATAAATCAAAAATTAACCGGGCATGGTAGCGCACACCTGTAGTTCCAGCTCCTTGGAAGGCTGTGGCGGAAGGATTGCTGGAGCCCAGCAGGTCGAGGCTGCGGTAGCCAGGAGCGGCCACTGCACTCCAGTCTGGGCGACAGAGTGAGACTCCAACTAAAAAAAAAAACAAAAAAAACAAAACGGAAGTTGACCTGAGCATCCTAAAAGGGCTTTCCGGTGATCTTTACCTAGGAGCCGCGAAATTCCTGAAATTGTTCGCAGATTGTTGTGCTTTGGGCCACTTTTCTAGGAAAGAAGACCCAGAACTTTTCATCAGGCTTTCAAAGATATCTGTGACTCTCAAAAGTTAAAAATCACCGATCTAGTCTTACTCCTCATTCAACCCCAGAACGCTTTCTATAATCCGAGTTTTTTCTTAATGGCAAGCAGTTTACATTGGCACCTGTTCTCATGTTAAACAGCTCTCTAACTGTTGGCTATTCCTTGCCATCTGGATTAAAATCAGTCTTCTAACAGCTCCTGGCGGTGGCTCCGCCCTCTCTGGAGTCACTCAAGTAAAAATTGGCTTCAGAAACCCTTCTGACATCCACAATTTGCCAGGCCCCTCTCTCCAAAGCTGTCCCTTCTGACCCAACTTAGGCGTGCCTGGTTCTTTCCACTACTTGCCAAAAGACATGTTTCATGACTTCCTGTGTCAGACACTGAGGATGCAAAATGATACAGGTGAGGCCTTGGGCTTCGTGGAGCAGGGAGGCAGTAAGGATATAACTCCCATAAAAATGTGAGGATAGAGGCTCAATCCAGCAACTGTTTATTGAACATGTACTTGGACCAAACTCAGTGCTTGGTTAGAAACTGAGGCCTGGGTAGCTCGTGACCTCTTGTTGCTTGAGGCACAGAGCTATGAAGGGACATATCTGGGATTTGAAACCAGATCTGTTCAGCGCTGATGCCTGCGCTCTTCCCTGACATGCTTCTGAAAAGTCAGCCAAGGTAGGCCTTCAGTCAGCAGACCTGTTGGGGGGATAGCGTTCTAGTCAGCGGGAAGAGACTGCTTGGAAGCATGGCGGGGATGTAGGGAGGATCAGTAAGTCAGTGTACCTGGAAAAGGCTTGGGGTGAGGGTGACATCACAGAAACAAAACTGGAGAGGAAGTTTAGGCCCTGGGAGGCAAGGCTGTTTCAACTTAATTAATCAGGAGTTTGCCTCAGGGAAGCAAAATCAGGGGACTTGCCATTTGAGAGAATGACTTAGTGGCAGTGTGGGGGTAAGATAAGAAGGGGGGAAACTAGTGCTGGGAAGGCAAGTGGACCAGAGAGGACCATTGCAGAGGATAGGGGAGGGAGAGGAAGAGAGATGAGAAAATCAAGAGCTATTTTGAAGGAAAACAGCCGAGAGAGGAAGAATTTGAAGATGGCTCAAGATTTTGAGTCTTCTTGACAAGAGGAATTGGAATCCCATGCATTTGGGAAGGTGAGCACCGGAGAAACAGGCTGGGTTCTGTTTTTGTTGTGGTGGTTGTTTTGGGTCTCACTCTGTTGCCCAGGCTGGAGTCTATTGGCACAATCATGACTCACTACAGTCTCAACCTCCTAGGCTCAGGTGATCCTTCCGCCTCAGCCTCCTGAGTAGCTGGGACTATAGGCGGGCATCACCAAGCTCAGTAAATTTTTTGATATTTTGTGGAGATGAGGTCTCACTATGTTGCCTGGGCTGGTCGCGAACTCCTGGGCTCAAGCGATCCTCCTGCCTTGGCCTCCTAATATGCTGAGATTACAGGCATGAGCCATGGTGCCTGGCTTGAACTTGTTTTGTTATGTGGCCACGAGCCTTCTTGAGGTGCTGGCAAGAGGGTGACATGATTAAATCTGTGCTTAGGAAGACAACCTGGGTGGCAGTGTTTGGGTGGAGGAAGGACCCTGGAGGCAGCGGGACAGGTTAAGACAAGGAAGACCAGGGGTGTCTTTCGATCCAGGTACACACTACTGACACCATTGGTCTGCACCAACTGTCACCACAGCTGCCCGTCATACTCTAGACACTATTTTTCCTGTTCTCTTGGCAGTCCCCCTACTTCCTCCGGGCCAGGATGTTGTCCCATGCTTTTTCCCCATGTGTGCTCCTTGCTGGACGAGACGCAGTGGACAAGAGGACCAGCAGGTAGCACTGAGTGCTTATCTAATCAAGCCCATAGTTTTTGAAGGCAGCCATGCTTGGTCTTAACAGGTCCCGGGAAGTGGCCTTTCATCATCCCCTTGGATAGGATTTTGGAAAAATGACCATGCCCAGTTAGTGTTACCCCTAACTCCCCACTGATCTGCCTTCTGCTTGGAGGAAGTGAACATCAAGTCGCTCACATAGAATGACCCAGCAGGTGAGTTCTAGAATGGTAACTGCACAGTTCTCTCTGGACAGACGCTGGATTTGAGAGCCTTAGAGTCCAGAGGCGCTCTGCTCACTGGCATCTGAAATGTTTGCTGAAGCGAGCACAGGAGTCTCACAGGGTACTCAGGAGTCTCACTGTGCACCCTCCAGGGCAGGGGTCCTCAAACTATGGCCCGTGGGCCACAGGCGGCCCACCGAGGACATTTTTCCGGCTCACCGGGTATTTTTGCCGCCTTAACTTGTTACGACTAGCAGTGACAAATATGGAACCGGACATTGACCATCTCATTAGCCAACAGCAGGCCCATAGTTCCCATTGAAATACTGGTAAGTTTGTTGATTTAACTTTACTTGTTCTTGATTTTAAATATTGTATTTGTTCCCGTTTTGTTTTTTCACTTCAAAATAAGATATGTGCCGTGTGCACAGGAATTTGTTCATAGTTTTTTTTTTTAACTATAGTCCGCCCCTCCAACGGTCTGAGGGACAGTGAACTGGCCCCCTGTTTTAAAAGTTGGAGGACCCCTGCTCCAGGGATTTCTAACATCGCAGTGTATGGGCTCTGCCCCGTCGAGTTGCCATGCCACGTGTCAGTTCTTGTAGCTATAGTAGTGACCACAGCAGTGGCAGCAGTTCTAGAGGGCCACACAACTTCATGGAAGCCTCCTCGCACCCCTGCTTTTCTTTACGCATAGGTTGCTTTCCTGTCTTCACCTCCTGTTCAAATCTTGCTAACAATTCAAGGACCCTAAGACCGCACTGTAGCAGGAAAATAGAGAAGCCGAGACTATTATAGAAGTGGCAACTTTATTACGCTGGCGGGCTTGACGGGCTAACGCTTCCAGGTCGAGCCCCCTAGAAGAGGGGTCTTTGTTTAGGTAAGGGAGGGGGGTCATGTTGAGCGATTACACATTTTTTTTTTTTTTTGGAATTTACAAGGTTGTACTCAGCAAAATCAGATCTTGCAAAGAACAAACGGTTTCCAGGAACTGCAGGGTGAATAGGATTGTAAACCAGTCAACTTCAAAAGAGGGGTTTTTGTATAAGTCTGTGAATTAGTTACTCTTTTGCATTTCCATGAGAGCTTGACTTTCTTTTTTTTTTTTTTGAGTTGCAGTCTCACTCTGTCACCCAGACTGGAGTGCAGACCTGCTGGGCTCCGGCGATCCTTCTGCCTCAGCCCTCCAAGTAGCTGGAACTACAGGCGT